TCAGAGCTGTGATTTGTCCATAGTAGCCAATGTCTTTTGCATCCATAGAAAAGTGCCATTTAGAAGAAACCCTGAGGTGTGAGTTTATTGGCCAGGGAATTACCTCTACGGTTCCTTCCTCCACGTAAAACTTCAAGACTTTCTCCCTCAGATGGCTGCAGTTGTTCTTATAGATCACCCATTTATGCGCCATCAGATGGCTGCAGTTGTTCTTATAGATCACCACTTTCTGCGCCCCAAGAATTTTGTACATTTCCACACTCTGTATAAACTGCAAGACATTGTTGTAATTTCCAAACATGGCAGAGATGCATACAGTGAAGTCAACTGAAAAGGTCTCAGCCTTGCGGTTTTTAATTTCAAACCTTGGCAGCTGGTCAATATTTCCATGTGGAAACTGATGAATCGATACATGTGTCGGATCACAGTTTTCAGGTTCCAAACAAACTATATCTGCTGCACCATAAGGGAATCCAAATCTATCTGAGTGAACATCAATTTTTGCGATTGATACATATATCTTTCCATGGGGTTGGCAGCAGAACGAGCAGTATAGTTCTTTTACGTCTTCATGGTGAACAATCCCAATCACACGAGTGGCTTTGCTTTCTCTGTCATCAAAGTAGGGGGCTATAATAAAAGTTCTGTTATCTTTTAGTGCTGTTATTGCACTTTGAGCAGGTTTTCCCCTACAAAGCTGACCTGCTGGACTGGCAGTTGTTGCCTGGGGGAAGATTTTTCTAGTTATCTTATTCTGTAGCTGAGGATCTTTCCAGGAGAAGAATAAAATGCTTGCAAGAATAAGAATGCATACAACACCACAAATATTTTTTTTTCCACAGTGTATCATTGCTGAATTTCACAATTTGGAACTTAACAGACCTTTATACTCAGTCTTCTATTCACTTTCTCTAAAACAAAACAAACACACAGAAAAGCACACTTTCAGTGATTTGCCAAAAAGATGTAATGCTTTGTATTGAATTCTCTTAAACACAATAGTTATTGTTTTGATACTTCAAACTTTAGTACGAAGACCTAACTTTTCATACATATTTGGAAAAAAATTGAGAGATTTTCTTACACCTCCTCATTCCAGACTTCATTGTATTTTACTCTACAATTGGGCCCAGTGCAACAGTTTCAGCTGGTTTGGTACACAGTAATGGTAATACAGTGTCATTTGAATCACTTTGAGGCCTGGAAGAAATTTCTGTTAGTGAAAACCCACATTCTTTATCTTTTGGTATTCTGAGAAGCTGGTAAAACTATAGAGTTATCCTTTCCCCTCTTCTTCCAAAAAAAGCTGCTGTGATGAGAAATTCAAACTGCATTCTTTTGTATTGGGTAGGAGCAATCCTGTCACAGTCTCCCAGTGTCCTGATTCCCAAGTGACAAAGAAAATGTTTTCAGAGCCTACTGTGTTCTCAGAGCCTAGTAGGATCCTCTGGTATTCAACATTATCTAGGAAAAGATGTTTGGAAAGAATGACCTTTTCACTTGTCCAGGTGTCTGCTGAGATTACCTTAAATGTAAATTGCTTTTGCCACTAAAGATGCCAAGTCTCTAAACTGGCAGTTGATTTCAGGAGGACTTTGTGTGAATATTGTGACCCTTCATTGGGACCACAGTGTGAACTCTGAACTCTTCAACCGTGCCATGGAAACTTCAGGTTCTCCAAGATATGACCAAATCAGACTACAAAATGAAGATTTTCAGTATACAATCACGGCTTGATATTTACATGTGCTTAAACCATCAAGCAGATGGAAGGCAAATTAAAGCTAAACCATACTAAACCAAACCTTGCTTTATTCTGTGAGAGGCCATGAGGGCACACATGCGGCACACCACAACAACACATCAGAACAATTAACCATTGTCTGTACCATTTGTAGGTATTCTGTCCTCTTCTGTATACATTCAATCTCAGCTGAATAACAACACTTTCTAATTATGCACAAAATTGCCGCTTTAATTACAGCTTTACTCTGACTTCTGAGTACTAGGTTTGAAGAACATGATGAAGGCACTGCTGCCTGATGTAATTTGCAAATCCAAGATGTTGCTCAACTGTTCTTTTTTTTTCCTTCAAAAAATGTAGGAAATTACTTTGAAGGAAGTATAAAGACCCATTCTCTAAAGTTAAAATCTTCGTGTTGCTCTGCAAATTGTCATGTAAGCTGTGCATCTTCCCCTTTCGTGCAAGTATTGGCATTCACCAATTTTAAGATTGCACTGCATGTGCAGAATAATTTTTTTAATATGCTCACAAAGTTACTCTGTTCTGCAGAAGATGCCTCCTCATCTGCTTTAACTACTTCTTATATTGCCTCCTCAGTTAACCAGTAAAATTCAAATATTCGTTTTGTCATTAGTTCACTAGAAGCTAAGCGGGACCTTGCAAGTGCTATTTGCATAGAAAAGATGAAGATATATAGAAAAGTAGGGCTGCATCATCAGTTATCAGCTTGCACCAAAGTTCTTCAAATACTTATTGGTATTCCTATTTTTGGATTGGAAACCATTTACAATTACTAACATGCTGTCTATTAGAAAACTAAGAGAAAGAATATTTTAGAGTGAAGTGGGGTTTTTTCATAAGAATATTAATTGGAAGTGAGATTGAAAAATGTGTACAGAAAACTTTAGGGGGAAAAAAAACACAAAAGAAAAAGAAGCCAACAACAACATGGAAAAATAGTAATTTCAAGTTCTAGTTCTTGTTTTTTATCCACAAGTGCTTTTAATTTTCCTTTTTTTTTTTTCTCTCTCTCTCCATTTTGGAGGTGGGATTGAGCCGTCAGTGTTCTCTTGGAAGAAATCAACAGAATTCTTTGCAGAGATGGGAGTAGGTCTGAAGACTGAGGCATGTAACAAGGACAGAGGACAGCAATTTCAATGCATTTCAAAAGTAGAGTAGTTTATCAGCAGCATCTCGGCTATTGTCAGAGCAATAATTTCTGACCAGAAATAGCCATTGTCATTCTGAAAAAGGATTATACACATGGAGTTATTAAGAGATACTTATTGTGCTACTTTGTACTGTCCTTTCTTCAAATGACCGTATGTTGACAAAGCCTCACTTCATGTAAGATGACATTGTAATGTTGAGCAGAAGACGACTGTTTCACCGTGTCTGATATCACTACGGTCTCTTGTTACTGAAGAAAATATTTTTTGTGCTCTGAAACTGAAAAACATCCCTCCTCTTTAAGAGAGGGGTTTAAAATATGTTAGTAACTCTGGACCTTCGCTGCCTGTTTAGGTTAATATGACTTGCAGTACAGACTAGAAACCGGAAGATGTTTTTCTGTAAGGTATATCAACAAAGTTCAAGAAACTTATTCACACAAAACAATAAGAACCTTATTTTTAATAACTCTTTTAGTGAAGCTTTATAAAACACTGTCACCCATTTTACCTGGAATAGCTAGACAACACCTCAGCATTTTTCAGCTACGTAAAGAGAAAATAATGGAGTCCATGTTTGTTGTGTCTTGTTATCTTGCCAGAATCTGCAAAACCATGCCCTCCTAAACCTAAGAGGAACCAAACGATAGCATATTTACTCACAGTTTCAAGCCTCTTTGTCTAGCACTTCATGCTTTCCAATGTTCCAATTCTGCCTTATGCTCCCACTGAAATGAGAGACCTTGCAATCTTGCTTTTTCCCCAACATCTGCTTCCTCTACAATTATACTGGTACTTTAACCATCTGTGGGAAATCCCGTGACTTCATAAGCTTCCTGTACGGTAAGAGTTTACTTTACTTTCTGTTCTGTTATTTTTCTCTGGTAACTGTGACTTAATTGAATCACACATTCGTCAATAGAAGTTATACCATCTCAGCCTCTCAACAGTCATATTTGTTAAATGGGTGAACGATAGATGATAATTTTCCTGTATTTATGGTGTCTGTGTGTATGTTCTTGGAAATTTATCTACATCAGGATTTAAATACTTGCCATTAGATCACCTGTAACCTAACGTGTTTCAACGGTCTAATCTTAAATAGCCCCTTGTGTTTTTCAGAGCTTTCCAGTAAGCTTAGTCCTCTGTTAAGATTCTCTCTTTCACTTTATAATGACACAAAATCAACACAGCAATTGTGTGCACAGTTGTGAAATCAGAAAATAAAACTTAGTATTTAATCACATCAACCTTTAGTCTACCATGGCAAGTGTCTGAAACAGCAGGTCTATACAACTTGAGTCAACACTTGATTGGCCATTGGGGCTGTATAATACCTAACGTAAACACGAACTTAGATGGGAGGAGTAAACTGGGTGGGGAGACATGCAAAACAATTGAACCATTTTTTTGGGGGGCAAACTGGATGTGCCTGTTTTATTAGCTATTTAGAGAGAAAAACTTGCTCTTTCTCTTAATAGGACTGTGGTGCCTGCAATTTTTATTTTAAATAACTTTTATTTCTATGGAAAGACACACATCTTCAGCTGTCATAGAGGGAAAAAGGGAAGTTGTAAAGGTGGCTTGATTACAGCTGAAGTATTTTGAAAGGGAAATTCAAATGGTAACTACTCAGCAATGGTAATTTGTGACTAAGGAACGATCTGGCATGGAGGGCAAGGCAGCAAATGGGTTAAGCTGTCTGGCAGCAGAAACAGAATGACTCCATGTAAGGAAGAACAGCTCCCTTACTGATAAGAAATGCAGCAGCAACCGCGGTGTAATTATCGATGGAGGACAGAGCGGGTAAGAGCACTTAGGAGCCACCTTTGCCCAGCAGAGATGGCACAGGAGGATGGACTCAATGCTGGGCTGAGGAGTCCATGCCAACGCTCAGAGGATCGGTGCTCATGCAAGTGTTCATAGGGAGTTGTCACATCTTTGCAGACTCCCTGTAGAACTGCTTATGGTGGTGGGACTCTGTCCAATGCACTGCTCATTAAATTTCTCTATAATTAACTACAAACGTGTGCTTAATTCACCTGAAGGGGAACAATAAAATATCCCCAACAATTTTTACTGTTATTTATGTTTGTTTGTATCTCTACCATCATGTGTCAGCGCAGTCATGGGAAAAATAAATAAATAAATATCAACAGAAGAAATATGCAGTTTTCACCTACTTCAGAAGTTCTTCCAACGTTGTCTAGGAGTAAAACAACCAGAAAGAACTGTCCACCACTGCTCGTGTGTGAAGTGAGGCTGCTTCTGTTACCTGGTTTTGCCTTTTAGGTAACAAGTCTCCATGCAACGGTAATGTTAAAAAAAAAGTGTATAAAGATTTGTCAAGTAAAACAACATAACAACAACTAAACTAGCCTCAGGAATTCATCGGTAACTTTGATACTAAGCAAAACAGTTAATTACACAACTAATATCCATTTCCTTTACCACATGTTGACTTAGCTCAGCTCAGTATTAGAAATTTTGATCCTCTTTAACAGCACACTTTGTCAGCTGAACCACTAGGCCAACATTTTCAAACGTGTATGTTGTTAAATTTCCTTGACTTCTAAAAATATCATGATTATTTATCAAGTCCTTACTTGAGTTACTTCCTAAAGGAGTCTGAAATTATTCTTGCCTTTCACTTCAAAAGAAGCCAGCTGGGGGGCAAGGGAAAGGAGGGGAGGAAGTAACAAGCACATAAGCTTTTCTGATTTGCTTATCTCTTCTCATTAACATGCCTTGTATCGATGTGAACTGTAACACGGAAAAGGCACTGCCAGTTGACTTTTCTCACAAAGCAGTTTTAAAGCTCTGACCTGGATCATACCTTTCATTATAAAAGCTTTTAAAAGGTTGAAGAACGTTGCTGGTAACTATTCTATTTGAATGCTATTGTTATAACTGCAGGTATAGAAAGTGGCATGTCAT